TGTTTTTGACGGTGGGGCACTTTTCTCAAAACTGATGGTTGAAATTTCGGTGAGGCGAGTTCTTTCACTCAACGATGCTCCTCCTCTTCGAGGAACTTAAAATCGCGACTTCATAGAAAACAGCTGAGCGCATCTCTAATACGAACGTATTAGAGCTTTCCCGCTTGTTTCAATTTCCACCTGACTCTGGCTCAGCCGTCATCCTCCGCAATGAAACTTTATCCGCATTACAACGAGAGCAAGTAAAAGAACAGTTGTTGTCTCGACGAGCTTCAACTGCGAAGTTTGAATATACAGCAGCTATGATGTGTGCGAAATAGTTCGGAAGATTTAATCGGTGGCCCCGAGGAAGAAGTAGAAATCAACGAAGCAAAGTTCGGCAAAAGAAAGTATAACCGCAGGAAAAGAGAACAAGAGAGTGGGTTTTGGAGGGCTATTGTGAGGGAGAAGCAACCCCTGGTTAATTTTCCTCGAAATAAATAAAATTCCTAATTTTAACTCCAAGTAAACTCTCTCGTTTCGGCTTGACCACAAGGCATTTGGGCTCTCAAACGCGAGCGAGACGTTCGAAGTCTAAATTCCTCCTCCCAATTTTTAAACATATTTTTACACGCAAAAGAGTTGTGTAAAATGAAATAAGAGCGTACTATTAAAAAACAAAATTCCTATCGTGGCTTGGCATATGTCCAGTTTATAAGAGATCAGACAGGAGGGATGCAGGCTAAAAATGTTTGTCAGGTTCTTCCTTCATGATATTGCCGTCTACACGGAGAAAAATCTATGGCTTATAAACCAATTAGTGGTTCATATGAAACACCACTAGTAGTAGTGAAGGCAACATAATAGTAAATATATCTTAGTTATGGTATATATGGCATACATACCATATTATGGTACGAAGTACCACAGTAGGGTTCACAGACCGATAATTATTAGTTCATAATACATCTATTGCTGGTGTTCCATAAGAACCACTAATTGGTTTATGAGCCATAGCTTTTTCTCAGTGTACTTTGTAAGTAACTTTTCAAAAAATTTGGTCATCTGGGAACTTTCAAAACTCCGAACCGGAAAGCTCAGCGCTAAGTGCAAAAAAATTGGCACTTCATCAAAGCATTACCTCAAGTTGATCTCTTATTTTGCCCCAAAACAGAAAGGGTAAATATCTTGAGGCGTAACTAATTGGGAGAGCCTTTGTATTCAATATTAAATTTCCAGTCGCGGGCGGAAACATGAAACTGCGGAAGTCAATGGAAAATCATTTTCGGGCGAACTGAAATAAAAACAAGAGGTCGCGAGGGGATGAGAGAAAGGCCACGGTGGCGGACAATCATCTCCGAGGGAAAAAAGAAAGGAGGAGAGAGGTCGAAGGCGAAGAGGGAAATAAAACCGAGTATAAACTAAACGTGTCGGGTTCAGGGCTTTTCGTGCTTTGCTTATTCGGCTCCGATGTATGAGGACAATACTGCCGCGCTGAGGAAGAACACCGTATGAACATTCGAGAGTTGTCGAATTTCCTCCGGTAAAATGAGTATGGTAGAGGAAAGTTGTGAACATCTTTCCTTGACATAATATAAAATGAGGGAGCTAATTACCGCATAAGTTTTCACGTAAATAAAAAGTTTAAAAAAACAAATTTTTCCCTCACTTGCGACGACTCTATCCATTGGCAGACGTGTTTCGAGCAAAGTGCTGCTCATCTTTAGTGCAATTCCTTGACATTTTCAGGAAACTTGTGTAGAATTGCGAAAAAAATTGTCTATAGTCCTAGACGAGACATTTCATAAACGCACAAGGAAATTAGAGTTTTATCAAAAGGAATTTGGCAACGCCTGGAAGTTCGTACGACGTTTTTCCTTGGCAGAACAGAATAGTGCGAACGTCCCGGAGGCGCAGCAAAGCGGACATCCCGTGCCCCATTGACAGGTTTAAACCGTGGGATAGATATATTTGAAATCCAACGAGAAAATAGACTCAAAACTATAAAGTTAGATTATGATTACGTAGTTGTAGCAAATAACGAATGCTTCGCATGGGACCCATTCGTACGCAGTAATAAACATTTTCTCACTTCTTTGATTCACTTTGTAGGTCATATTCACCAGAATACTTTTTCTTGCCAATTTTCCTAATAGGTTGATGTTTACTTATTTACCACGACCGATGAGAGCAAACCGCTCATCGTCAGGTGTTTAAAAATTTAAAAAAACTAAAGTCTTACTTTCTTTTTGCTATCGCAAGTCAGGTATCTATCGATCGATTTTCGCTTCCGCGTTCGCGATGCAACTGAGATATATATGATTTTCGTTTTTTAATTTTCAAGATCTGACGATGAGCGGATAGCTCGAAACGGCCGTAGTGAATAAGTAAATATATACCTATTGGAAAAATCTGTAAGAAAAAGTTTTCACACTATCATAAATATTTCCTGTTTCAGATGGCGCATTCCAACCAATCTACTGACAGTGTGGGCTCCAATGTGCCTAGGCATCACACCACGTAAGAGAAGTTGACTCGGAGAGATTAAAGTGGGGAGGGAAGCAGTGTTATTTGACCCGTGATGTGAAGGACCTGTAGTGTATAGTCGGACGAAACTTTTCCTGAAAAAAGATTATCAAGCTTTAATACAATGACGATACATTATTACCCGGGGGTTTAAAAATTGTATCACGCATTAGAGTCCATCACTTTCACATTTTGAGCTTGGACGAATTATTGATTTAAGAGCTAGAAATACGATTCGCCTTCAATTCGATTGTTATAGTTGTACTAAATGGACCGAAATTCCCATTTGCTTGGACTATGACAACAATTTGACGGTGCATGCTAACCTCAGTTTTCTCCTCCATTAACGAATTAGTTTCAATTTGTTTTACTTTAATGGTTTACTGTTTTTGTGAACTATCTCTGTTTGCCTGTGGCCGTTTCGTCCCTGCATGTCTCTCTCTGGTTTTACTATTTCGACAATTTCGACAATTTCGATAGATATTTTACGTTCTAACGTATCAATGGAAGAATACACAAAGTGCGAGTCACGATTGTGGAGCGTCGAGGCACTAAACTGAATTGGACGGTTTCGCAAAAATTTATGCTCGGCGCGGCTGTGCCGAATGAAAAGGAACCCTGGCATCTCGCTCTTAAAATCGCACAGACTATGCCGCTCCTATCATATAAGCGTTTTCTCTCTTGACCTTCCATGTATGGTCGCCTTGAAACAAAAATTCATACCACAGACCGATGAGACGGCGTGTAAGAGCAAAGAATTTTGGAGAACAATGCGTCCAAGTCCAAGAATTTTAGTCCATTTAATGGAAATTAATTAAATTAAAGTACCGCAAGTGAGTACACGTTTGTATCATGTTTGACTAGTGACAATCCCCCCCACAAAGTTTCTATAAATATCGTCCATGTTGGGCGACGTGGTACCAAAGAGTGGCTGTTAGAGGTGTTAGACGGTCAGTTTTATGCGATTTGATTTCCGCCCGATAGGAAGACTAATGTGATGATCATCTAATAGTACGAAGCAACGGCCCCGTGCATCTGGCTTTCATGCACGCTAAAATATGGGCGAGAATGTAAGCCATGACCGTATAAGACAAGGTGAAGGTGCGACACTTTAATTAGCGTACTTGGAATTGACGAGGGATTTCACTGTGTGCGTCTACTAGATAGTGAATTAAAGAGTTTAACTTATGAATATCAACCAGAAATGAGGCTTACGATTAGATTAACATGACCGCATAGCAAAAGAAACACTCTTTGTAAACTGGACGTTACGCACGATTCTCTTACATTCTTACTAATTTTTTTTAGTATAATTTACCAAATTCTGGAAAGTTGGAAACGTGAAAAAGAAAGGGAAATATATCAACAGATAAAGAGGAGTTACTCCATTTCATATGAAAGTGTGATTATGGCAAGAACCGAAGGAGCAGATTTAATGGAAAAATCGCCTAAAAACCCCATATACTGAAAGAAAAAAATGTACCTGTTGCAGTTTCTTGGTCCAAATACCCACTTTAAGAGCCGGCGTCTTAACATCGATACCTCAACGGGCACCAAAATAATTTATGAAAACCTAATCAGATCAAATTAACAGCAAAATCATACGCTTAAAAAAATATCGGCAGTTCCGTAAGTTATGTGACTCCACCGCGTAGATATATTTGTACTTGTGCGACTTATTGCCGAACTGGAAATGCGTTCTTAGTCTGCTCGGCCATCAGTACTGCTGTGCGAAGAAAAACGTCAAACGGACCTTCAGGCGTAGCCAAATTTCCTCCCATCTAATACAAATTTTCAATGAAACTGTTGGAAATTTGTCTTTAAATTTCTCAGACAATTGAGTACGCAATTAAATCTTAAAAATCTAAAAATTCCAGGGAGTAACGTGCATGAATTTCCTCGAAAACAAATGTCTCAACAGGGGGAATTTGGTAGCTCTTGAAGGTCCATACAGCGTTCTTCGTTGGTACGGCGGAGTACTGCCGTAAGGAAAAACGCCGTATGAACATTCGAGAGTTGCCAATTTTCCCGAGATCAATCGTGTATTTTGTAGGAAAGTTACTCATATTTTTCCTTGAAATTTTCAGGCATTTTAGATCAAATTGCGAAGAAAATCGTCTAAAAAATTTGAAGCAGAACATTTCAAAAAAATTTCAGTAAATTCGATTTTTATTGAGGGGAATCTGGCAACGCCTGAAGACTCATACGGCGTTTTTCCTTAGCACGACAGAGTAACCTTCATATTGTTCTGGAATGGGGGGCCTCCGCAGTTCGCGCGGCTGATCGATTCGCGTGTTTCTGCATGCGTGTCCGCGCCGAATATTTCCCCCAATTATCCTACGTTATTTAATTAATCGCACTCGAACGCGTCGCCTATTTTTCATCTCTATAAAACTAAGAATCTCGGACGGAGAGCATCAGTTAGCGTTGGATTTCAAGTGAGTATTCTTCCGGTCGTCTGGTGAGCCGCAGATTTCTTCCGATCATGAATTCGTTGGTTTTGTGCGCTTTTGTCGGCAGTTTCGTCGTCGGCGCCTTGGCCGCCCCCGCTGAGACGTACACGACCGAGTTCGACGGGATCGACATCGACAGTGTTCTCAAGAACGAGAAGCTCCTCGACGCTTACGCCAAGTGCCTCTTGGACGAGGGTCCCTGCACTCGAGAGGGTCGCACCTTAAAGAGTAAGTAACCCATGAATGGACTGCTTGACTTGAATGAGCGTAAACTCGAGCACTTTAGAATACGTTTACTCATCGAAATTTCACACGAAAAAGTCACAGTATCAATCGAAGCAAAATTTAATGGTGGATTTTTTGGGGGAGAAAAAAACTTCAAGCATGGGACACGAAATGGACTGCCTTGAGTAGAAAGGAACCATGCCACATCGGTTAACGCCAAATATGCACTGGCGTCTAGACTCTTGAAAACATTGACAAGAAAAAATACTCTTGATTCAATCAGATTTAAGCTTAAATCAAAAGGAAATCTGCTCAAATTAAGAGACTTAGTTCTTGATTTAAGCAAAAATCCGACTAAATCGAGAGTATATTTTTTCTTGTCGATGTTTGTAAGAGTCCGGACTTTAGATCCAATGTGTTTTCTTTCCGGTGCGATTGATAGCTTTTTTTTGCATGAAAACCGTTGTGCGGATTTTTGTGCTAATGTTAGGGAATTCTCTGCATAGTACGAAGCAAATCGAGAGGGTTGCACCTTAAAGAGTAAGTAATCCATGAATGGACTACTTGACTTGAATCGGTGTAAACTCAAGCACTTAAGAAAACGTTTACTCATCGAAATTTCACACAAAAAAGTCAACGGTATCGATCGAAATGAAAATTTTCGCACAAAATTTTAACGGTGAATTTTTTCGGGGAGAAAAAAAACTTCGAGCATGGGACCCGAAATGGACCGCGTTAAGTGGAAAGGAACCATGCCACATCAGCTATTGCCAAATATGATTAATACATTCAATTTTTTACATGAAAAAATATGTGCGGATTTTTGTGCTAATGTAAGGGAATTCTCTGTACAGTACTAAGCAAATTACGTAAAACTTTCGAAGGCATTTGCACAAACGTTCTCTTAAATTGCTCGGTTGAATTTGGCAATAGCTGATCTGAATTGGTTCCTTGCTGCTGAATGCGGTCAAAATGAATATTGTATGGATTGTATTTAGCAAAAACAGAACCAAGAGCATTTCAACGTCGCTAAGATAGTGCATCTTTTATACCTTGTTTTGTAAAAAATTGTATCTTTACTCCCGATAAACCATAAATTAAAGACGAAAATTACCTACAATGTAGATATAATTTTTTGCATGATTTCAGTCGTTTTTTGCAAAGAATGTGAATTGCACAAACCCAGCAACATTGGAATGCTCTTGCTTCCTTTTGGCAAAATGTAATCTGTATGAATCTTTGACATTTCCGGATCGTGTATCCGAAAACTTGCGATCTAATGATTGGAGTTCAGGTCACAAATCAAAAGAACCGGGGTATATTGGTTGACTCCTTGATATTATGAACCAAAGTATTTCAGATGTAACTCCAACAGTTAGATCTCAAGTTTTTGGATACGCAATCCGAAAACTTCAGAGATCCGTATGACCTCAACTTTGCATCCCATGAACGAAGTTTTTTACTCCGTGCAGTTTCGCGCAATTCATTGGATACAATCTAAACATTTCGAATTTCAACCATCAGATAGATTATTTTAGGAAAATCGAAATTTTAGTCCGTAGATGCGAGACATTCAAAATTTTCGTGCCGAAAATCGTCATCTAAAAACATTGAAGTAAAGTCAAGATGTTATGTTTCATTGACCACTGATATCGACACATTGAAATAAATTAAATATGAATCAGTCTACATAATTGGAATCGGTCCTTATGTTAGACAGAAACATGCCTTCGAAACAAAAACCGCATTTGCCTTATAAGTGTTGCTACTCAATATTAAGATGCGTAAGTTTGCATATACGGTCTTGAGATTCAATTTTATCCAAGGAACTGTCCGGTTCGAATGTTTGATCGAGTGACACAGTACGAGTACTAAATTCGGTGCTACTCGCTGGCAGCCAAATTTAGCATTTTGAAAATTTAAATAACTTCACGGTTATGTATTTTTGATTCCTCGCGTGTAAGGAATTGAACTTCTTCGAAGTATGAGAGAATTGAGTAGCCGCTGGGTGCAAGAAGAGCTGTTATCGGTTGCAGTGTTTAGAGAGTCTCCGCTAATATTAAACGAATGCATTCTGAATATTCTTCGTGATAGTACCATATTCTATAAGAAAAATTCCGAGAAAATTGCCGATTAGACTCTTTCTTTTTAACACTAATTAGCAATGGAGTACAGAAACTACTAGGTATAATTAGAAAATACTATACTAAGTATATAAACATTAGGTATAAAGCCACAAATTTCATTGGAGAAGGACATTCTTTTGAAACCAAACTTAGATCGGCATTTTATACTACTTCGTTAAGTCAGTTTCAAGTCTAATTGGTACGTCATAATAATTTTTAAAATATAAATAATGGGTGATTGATGGTTATTCTGCAACAAAAATGATGTTCTTTAAATAAACGGAAAAATTACAATGGAGTTACTATGAATCGATTTCTGAGCACATCTGAGATTATGTTGGGGGATTTGATTAATCACACGGAGTTCATTTCGTAAAAGTTATACAGGTGATTTTTTTGGATTTTCTCAGTTAAATTGATTGATCTGATTTCAGCTTTGCTGCCGGACGCTTTGGAAACAACTTGCGCGAAATGCTCCCCGACGCAGAAGGAGAAAGCAAAGAAAGTCATCACATTTTACATGGAAAAGTACCCGGAGAACGCACAAAAAATCATGAAGAAGTACGATCCCACAGGAAAATATAGGAAAGCTCTGGAAGAAGCATTCCTCGGCTCTCTGTAGATCCACACATTTTATTCCATGAAATTAAGTTACCAAATTTGTCGGTTACGATTGAGCTGTAGCCACAAACAATGTACAGTATTTATTTTGTGTAAAAAATCTTTATGACACATAGAAAAAGAACGTAATAAAAATGTTTCATAACATTTAAATGAAAGTAGAGGATTTATACTTCTATACCCTAGCACATCCATTTCTTCTGGCACAAAAGTAAATAAATGGATATTGGTTCAAAATAAGGTAAACAATCCTGTTACAAATGGCCCGTTAACAAAGATACAACTATGCATGCATTATATTTGTATTTC